CCCGGGGCGGTGGTGCGCTTAATCCGAACGCATCAAACCCTCATTCTGTCACCAATATATTTAGACTTACGATCCATCACCATCGACTTATGGATAACAAATTATTATAACCAATAAAAAATATCACAACTATTTGTTTATAATTAAATAAACAAATGAATGATAAAAATTTAGAAAAAAAATATTCACGAATTAGAAAATAATTGGATAAGATTATGAAAAAAGATCTAAACATAAATCTTGGTTTTTTATAAAAATTATAGGGAAATCTGTTGTCGACAACTTCAATAGTTCCTGGAGAAGCGGTCACAAGAGCTGGTGGCAGTTATCAGTCTTTAAAAATATTTAATACCAGTATCGGGAGATAAATCTTTATATTTTTAAAAAATCCAGGACACAGAGTCACCGACAACTTCACAACTTCCTGGAGCAGCGGTCACAGGAGCTGATAATTGTAGGGATATTTGTCGCCGATAACTTGACAACTTCCCGGAGCAGCGGTCACTGGAAAATATATCTCCTCTCTGTTATATTTTGTATTTTAAATTCCTTCGCTCTCAATTCGTATGATGACTACGTTTACAATTGTTTTTCTTATAAATTATCAGAATTTATATTTATCCGTATTTACAGATTTCCATATTTTAAGTTTACGAATATTAATGATTGTCTATTTTTTTATGTTTCTAAATTTTTAATTGTCTTTTTTTCGACTTGTCTGAATTTATTCTTTTCTTTTTTTTTTTAAATATCAGTCATTTTAGATGTTTATATTCTGATGCGTCTAATTTCACGGAAATCTTTTTTTTTTGATTTTATAATTTTACGCTTATTTTTTTTAAAATAATTCTAATTATTTTGATTACCACATTTTTTCATTGCTATTTTTTAACTAATCTATATTGCAAAGTATCCTCAATAAGACACATCATTTTTTTATTATTTCTGAAATCTTATTTTTCCATATTTTTCATTTATTGATTTCCTTACTCACAGATTTCCAAAATTTGATGTTTCCATTTTCTGTAAAATTTCCGACCGTAAAGAATCAATGAAACGCATTGTATAACAAAATAAGAAAATTATAAAACGAAAAGAACAGAAATATTTCTACAATTAAGTAATTAAACTCAAAATACGCAAGATATACTAAATTGAAATACATATTTATTCATACGATTTAAATAAATAAATTAATGTTAAACCGTACAAATGTATGTCTTTGTCTATGCGTAAATGCGCTTACCCATGTAGGAAAGTATGGCAGGCCCAGGCTTGGCCCAGGCCTGGCCCAACTATGCAGAACTCTGAGCCAGGCTTGGAAGCCAGGGTTGGCCCAGTCTTGGTTCAAGTCTGGAATGATAATACTGGCCCAAGCCTGGTTACCAGGATTAGCCTATGCCTGGCTACCAGGACTGGCCCATGCCTGGTTACCAGGGTTGTGCCATAGTTAGTATTCAAGTCTGGCCCATGCTATTCGATAAAAAATGATAAAAAAAAAATATTTTTAGTGTTATTTTTTATTTTAATTTTGATGTAGAGCTAACGCAAGTTTACACCGTTTGAGTCTTAGTTTAAACCTAACTTTTGCTGATTATAGAAAACAAGTGAAAATCGCATTTGTTCTAACCGAGATTCGAACCCGTGCCGCGCGCTTGCCAGACTGATAACTAACCCTTACACCGTATGACCGATAAGCTAATGTACGTCTCGTCATTCTTATAAGCTAAATAGATATGGTGCCGAAGTGTGACGGTTTATTATTTATATAATTTATGTTATTCGATAGTGTGTTTTAATGAAAATGAACGATTTTTTACAAATGTTTATTAGTTAAAAAAATGCGAGAGTCAATTTCTCATATTACTTTAGACTTCAAACATCGTTCTGTATATTTTTAATATCTTACGATAAATTTTAATGTGTAAATTATCAATATTGAAAATTCGACTGTAAATTATTATATTAAAATTTTTTTTTAAGACCATATGCAATTGTTTTTGTTAAATAATAAAATTTTCGATTGTATTTGGTCCCAATCGGTCAATTTTTGAAAAACTTCTAGCGATTTAAAAAAAAATGAGCGGTTTTTTTCAAAAATTCGTAGCTTTTTTTGGGTTGGGTAAAAAAATCTGAAATAATTCCTAAAAATATCTTTTGAGGGGTAGAAAAAGATACCAAACTTTGAGCGAAGTCAAAGGAGGTCAGGTAAAAAATTTGTCGATTTGGCATATAAATGACCCTTATACACTTCTCACAAAAAATAAGTGAGCAAGAAAAAAACTTCAATTTTTGAAGGTTTTTTAACAGGCTGTAACTTAAAGAAAAACGGTCGTACAGCAAATAAAAAAGCAAATTGAAAAGTATCTAGTTTTCAGATATGACTATGAAAATTTTCGAATTTGTTGTTTTTTCTTTTTTTTTTTAATTTACCAAGTCACTAATGCAGAATTGAGAGAAAAATGAAAAAAAAAAAAGAATATTTTTTCATTTTAGTAAAAATTATGACCTTTTCGAAGCAAAACTCTTGCTCTTTTGATTTTTTCAAAAATTCAATTGAGTAGGACAAAAAAATGGTGGGCTGGATCGAATTAAAATTTTGACCGGCTTTTCTGGGTATATTGAACTGTAGAAGGCATACAACATTCGTGATTTCCGCGATATTTTTGTTTAGGCGCTTGACTTTCCAAAAAACTACGGAAAGCCCTTTTTTGGTTGCTTTTTCAAATTCATGTAATGATTGAAAAAAATAGAGAAATAGAAAAAAAATAGAGAATTTATTCAAGTTTTCGAAACCCACCTTCAATTTTTTGCGCGATTATTGGTTGCTAAGATAGTGATAATCAAAGACAAAATTATCCTTTTCTATTCAAACACCGATATCTCAGCGAGAAATGCTCGTATCAAGATCCTTGAAAAAACAAATTGAAGCTGAATAAACAAATTATTCAGTTCGTATGGAGGTTAAGTCAAAAAAAATTTTGCACGTCCGTAAACTGATAAGAAAAACTGAAAAAATTTAGAAAGAAAACTTTTGGAACTAGATTAAAAAACTAGACACTTGAAGCTACAATTTGCTTTTTTTTGCTGTACGACCATTTTTCTTCAAGTTACAGTTGGAAAACCCTCAAAAATTTGGATTTTTTTCTTGCTCCCTCAATTTTTGTGAGAAGTATACTTTCAATGTTTGTTATATAATCTTTAGTCAATTTCGTAGCTATGTAAGTTCTTGATAAAATTTTGTCACTTCATAAATGATTTTAGCAGTCATGGATGGCCCGGTCTGTTTGACCATTTTGGCAAATATGCTATCCGGTTTTTCTATCAGCAATTCGTAAGGCGTATCAAATTCCTGTTGGATAAAGAATATTAGTAATTGATAATTAAATAGAAGAAATAAATAGAGAAAATTTTATTGATCACTCACCGCTGCACATCCATTGTCCATTACTAGAATCCTGTTGCTATTGATGATTGTATTTAATCGATGAGCTATTGTTATAACTGTGCAGTCTGCGAATTTTGAGCGGATTGCTCGCTGGATCAACGCATCAGTCCTATCATCAAAACAACCGTTGAACAGTTACACACTCTTAAGGGATTTGGGTCTATAAGAGCAGGGATAATACATACCGAGAGTCGATATTGGCGGTGGCTTCGTCGAGAACTAGGATCCGATTGTTTCTCAGCAGAGCGCGAGCGAGGCAAATCAGCTGACGCTGACCAACGCTGAAGTTTGTTCCGCCTTCGGTGACCCATTGGTCGAGGGCCAAGTCACTCAATTCAACTTCCCTCAAAGCGTCCCAAATTTCTTTATCGGTATATTTCCCAAAGGGGTCGAGATTGTAACGCAGTTTCTCGGAAAATAAAACAGGCTCCTGTGGAATTATTGATATGCTTGATCGTAAATCTTGAAGCCCGATTGTTTTAGTGTCTACACCGTCAATAATTATTTGCCCCTGGAGACCATCGTCGACTAGTCGGAAGAGTGCAGATATCAATGAAGATTTTCCGGCACCAGTTCTTCCGACAACTCCAACTTTCCAGCCCGGCTCGATCATCAGGTCAATGTTCTAATCAGCAGAAAAAATAATTAATTGTATTATTATGAAATTCACTTACAAGCTTAAGTATAACTCGCGATTTTTATACCTTTAAAACAGCAGGATCATCTTTTTTGTAACTGAGATAAACATTCTTCCACTGAATTCGGCCTTTGGATGGCCAGTTCTCAGTCAACGGTTTTGATGATTCTATAGGACCTTCTTTTGGTAAGTCAGTATACTGAATGACTCTCTCAACAGCTGTCATTTGAGATTGTACTTCCATGGATTGCTTGATACCCCATTGCAACGTATTAGTCAAAGTCAAGGACTGAGATATCGCCAGTCCTACAGATGCTCCGCTACTATTTCCTATAAATCCATCCACCTTTAATAACTTGAATTCTTTATTTATTAGTTATAATCTTATATTACTTACCACGATCAATAAGTATTAATGAAAAACATAAAACGAATATAAAAAAGCACGCAATTATATCAATACTGAAACCATATGCAGACCCAGATCCTATCAGTAAGTACCAAGCACCAGAATTGATATCTTGGTATCGATCGAATTCGTTTCGGAGCATAGATTGCACGCTCTCGCCCCGACTTCGGATTGTTGTCAAACCATTGAATGTTGAAGCTACATGTGTATAAATAGGACTTTTTGCTGCAAAATAATCATAACATTGTTTATTTCAACTTTAACAATAGCTTCAAAGTCCGTAGTGTAGAAACAAGTTAGAGTTCTTACTTATTCCTTCTAAGCGTTTTGCATCTTGAGATGTCATTAGATAACAAATCGTTATTAAATAAAAAGCTAAACCAGCAACTACCGTGAGTATGATCATCCATGGATTTATAACAACAATATTAACGATAGTCCCCGCGGCGTTAAAGATTGTCAAAGAAGCTTGAAGCATGAGTGGCATGAGCACTTCATCAATCACTCCTACATCTTTTGAAAATCTGTTTAATAAACGACCTAAAAACATTTTGACAGTTGCTGCTTTGTTTAAGATTAAAATTTGTCATTTAATTTGAAGGTTAACGATTGTTACCAGAAGGATTTGTGTTGAAGAAGTACATAGATGCTTGAAGAACATTGGTTAACATGAGATCATGAAACCGTCGAGTCGCTCTCATTCCAATCTTCACAAGGTAGTAGCATCTCGACATCGACAACGTGATGAAAGTAATCAAAAGCGCCAAATGAATGTAAACTAATATATCAGTGAGTAAGAAACCTTTGGAATCAAAGAACGGATTTGTAGCGTTAACTAGAAAATTAGATTGATGATTTACGTCTTGACTGACACTACTGTTATTATTGCAATGCTGGTCGGCTCTTAGAGTAGTCCAATAAGTCATCCACTGATCGACGCCAACTGCTACGGCTTGAGTTATAATGAATAGGGCTGCTAATAGAATTACTCCAGCGATTCCTCCTCCTTCTCGAAAATAACGGTAGTAAATGGCTTTGGAGATAAATCCTGTGCCTACGACTTCATCAGCAACTGTATTCTCTGAACCAGTAGCTGATTCCTGTAAAATGAGTTGAGAAATAAGATACAATCTATAGAGTGGATATTTAAAGAAAAAACCTTACGGTATGATGACTCTCTAAAGGTCTTCCATTTTCGTCGATAGGTCCATTGGGCTTTTCAATACTTTGGGTTTCATTTTTAACATTCTCAAGTAGCTTCAAGAATTCTGAATCCTGGAGTAACTGATAGCTTCCTTGTTGTTTGATAGTTCCCTGTCATAATAATAGAAGTGATGATAAGATTCATATGAGAAGAGGAATTGAATTCTTACGCGATCTATTTCAATGATAGAATCAGCTTGTTTGAGATAATTGAGCTGATGAGTGACGAGGATTCGTGTCTTGCCTTTAAGGTATCCAAGGATACAGTCTTGGAAGAGTTGTCGAGATACACGCGCATCAACAGCACTCAGCGGATCATCCAGAAGATACAAATCAGCAGGTCTGTAAATAGCTCTGGCTAGATTGATTCTCGCTCTTTGACCGCCAGAAAGGGAAGCTCCTCGTTCTCCGACAATTGTCAGATCACCTTCTGGCAGTTGCTTGAAGTCTTGTAGTAGAAAACAAACTTTCGCTACCTGATGATACCGTCATTGACAATAAAAATTAGTGACCTGCATTAGGAAAATTAATGAAAATTTAAGCTTACCTCTTGATAACGTGCTTTATCGTACTCTTGCCCAAAAAGAATGTTTTCTCTGACACTTCCCGTGAAAAGCCAGGGGTCCTGACTAGCGTATGATATTATCATCGCTGGATTGTCTTGTGAAAATCCAGACTTAGATTGAGCTTCAGCAGTCTCTCCATCAGAAAACTGGAAGAGTTCAACTGTGCCTGCACCAACTGGCAGCTCCTGCAGGAGCACATTGAGCAAAGAACTTTTGCCTGAGCCTACTGGACCTACTAGAGTACAAAGTTCTCCTCCCTTGATCTTCAGTGAGACATCACACAGTGTTGGAGGCAATTGCCCGAACTTCCAATTCGCTGAAACTTTATCCAGCTTGACAATTACAGCCCCCGGGTTAGCTTTATTTTCTAAGCTACTCTCAACAACTTCAGGCATCTGTGGTCTGATGTCCAAAGCCTTCGTGTCTTTTTTGACCTCTTCCAGCAAAAGGAATTCCTGTAAAATATTAAAATTCACCAAGAAACTAAAAAATTGCCTCTGAAATCACAGTATCTAAGCATCTCTACCTGAACCCGCTTAATGGTCACCAATGTTTGACTAAACAACACTATCGCTGTAGGAAATACGTCAGCCATATGTAACTGCAGAATATTGAAGTATATCGCTAGCTGGAAGGTAACCCGCGGATCTATCCCGCCCCCACCGTACATTAAAGTCACGAGTGTCAAGAAAAGCATCATCCGCTGGGTGACCCCCGACAATATTGAATACAATCCTCTCAAATTGTTCGAACGTCGAACATGGCCCAATTCTTCTGACCTTATTCGTTTGACACTCTGGTCAAAGGATTTTTCCCAAACATACATTTTTATAACCTGAAACTCAAAGTTTTGATCACCACCAATTGAATCATCTAATTACTAAAATCACCATACCTGAATGCCGGAAATCAGTTCACTCATCAACTGAATCCTTCTATCGGTCAACTTAGCAGTAAGGTTTCTAAGTTTTCCTGTCATTACTCCAACGTACCCTTGCATTGGAACCGTGATTAGTAAGAGTACACCGTACCCCACTAAAGTATAGATCCCAATACTGCGCCAGATGAGATATCCAATCACTGCTACCTGATGATCATAAGTAATCAATTAAGAATCACAAATCATTGAAGAAATGTGATTAGCGATCATGTTGTGATTACCTTACCTGAAGTGGTGAAATCCACAGATAGTTTATGTAAACTGGAAGTTGATCAAACCGATTGACATCGTTACTCAGAAGATTGATCACCTGGCCTACTGGTGTCTGATCCAATACTGGCTTGCTCAGTCTCAAAACCTTTCTGTAGACTAACGATGAGCAGGCGACCCTGAATCTCATTCCTGAAATCTGGCTAAAGTAAATGTATTGCTGCGTTATGCAAATCATCACGAAAGTCAATCCAGTAAGTGCTCCAGCGTACATTAACGCATCATTTTGGGACTTGGATGTTGGAGGATCATTGTTGGCTTCGAAATAGTCTATGATCCAGTTCTGAAAAACTGGTTGCCAGTTAACTAACAGCACATTCATCACCATCTGGGAAATCCCAATAATCAGCAATTCTAACCAAAAAGTCTTCGCGATTGCTCGAAGCAGACTTGGTTTTAGAGAGTTGACTTTGTTGCCATCTTCTAAATTGACTTGTGACTTTTTCAATTCAGCAGCCCAAGCACTGCAAAAGAATGATTACATGGTAAGCAAAGGAGAAATTTTACTAAACAGAAAGATATCGAATATGATTTTGATTACCTGCCCAAGTAGTCTGTTAGAGTCTTGGATTTGTCAGATGTCAGCGGAGGATAAAGGTCTTTAATCGTTATTCCATATTTGACTCCTTTTTTGAACAGTTTAAGTGTCCACCTATTGAGTTAAAAGTTATTACAATAAATTTTTATTATAATGACAATTGTAATTTAATACGAACCAAAAGAATAATCGACTGATGAGACTTGCTGACTCTAACGGGTTTTTAATTGTTGATTTCACTGACGGAGACATCGTCGTATCTTGCTAAATGAAGTGAAATTAATTTTGAAAAATAACGTTGTAAAATAAAATCAAAAGGTTATATAAAATTACAGAAGTTTGTCAATTGGACGAGTCGCAACTGAAGAAACAGGTATATGTTTCGACATGATTTACAACAGTATTATCATTTTTTGGATCTTAAATGATTAGCTGTAATTATTTCTATCAATATTTACCAAAAAATAATATGAATTAAATTGTATGACAAAATTGTGATTTCTTATCTAGAGAGTATACAGTAGCTCTAACATTTTAAGCTAAAAATGCTAAAAATTTATGACCACGTGGATTAATATCCGAAGTTAATAGATTTATTGATTCAAGATATTAATACAAACAAACAAATGTTCTGTACATAAATGAAAGTTTATATCTTATCGTTTTATCAATGATAATACCTGTTTATCGGGTGATGACTCAGACGTTTATTGATCTGATTCGTATCATTCGAAACCTCTTGATAAATTGAAGATTCGAATAGTTCTTATAATATTGAACTCAGTTCCTTTAGGGTAAAAAAAATACGATTTCAAGGATCCACTGGTAGAAAATAATAAAAACATCAATGACGAAAAAATTTTGTAATATTGAGTGTAAATTAGAATACTATATTTTTGAACGCTATAAAAGTATAAATGAATGATACAAGGAATGTAGTAATAAATAAAAAAAATAGAATACGTTTGATTGAGCATCAGCTGATGCATTAGAAGTATATATAGCCTAACAATAACAGGTTTAGTTAAGAGATAAATTTGTTTGTTGGTTATGAAACTCCATTACTTCATAAGTTATTTTAGCAGTCATGGATGGTCCGGTTTGTTCGACCATTTTGGCGAATATGCTATCCGGTTTTTCTATCAGCAATTCGTAAGGCGTATCAAATTCCTATTAGACAAAGAATATTAGTAATTGATAAATAGAAGAAATAAATAGAGAGAATTTTATTGATAACTCACCGCTGCACATCCATTGTCCATTACTAGAATTCTGTTGCTGTTGATGATTGTATTCAAACGGTGAGCTATTGTTATAACTGTACAATCTGCGAATTTCGAGCGAATAGCTCGCTGGATCAATGCATCAGTCCTACCATGAAAACCACCGTTAAAAAATAGTACATTCTTGTGAAATTTGAGTCGATAAGAGCAGGGATAATACATACCGAGAGTCGATATTGGCGGTGGCTTCGTCGAGAACTAGGATCCGATTGTTTCTCAGCAGAGCGCGAGCGAGGCAAATCAGCTGACGCTGACCAACGCTGAAGTTTGTTCCGCCTTCGGTGACCCATTGGTCGAGGGCCAAGTTATTCAATTCAACTTCCCTCAATGCGTCCCAGATTTCTATGTCAGTGTATTTTCCAAAAGGGTCGAGATTGTATCGCAGTGTCTCGGAAAACAAAACAGGCTCCTGTGGAATAATGGATATACTCGATCGTAAATCTTGAAGACCAATTGTTTTAGTGTCTACACCGTCAATAATTATTTGCCCTTCAAGACCATCATCGACTAGTCGAAAGAGCGCAGATATCAAGGAGGATTTTCCGGCACCAGTTCTTCCGACAACTCCAACTTTCCAGCCCGGCTCGATCATCAGGTCAATGTTCTATTCAGCAAAAAAAATATCTAATTGAATTATTCTGAAATTAACTTACAAGCTTAAGTATAACTCGAGACTTTTATACCTTCAAAACAGCAGGGTCGTCTTTTTTGTAACTGAGATAAACATTTTTCCACTGAATTCGGCCTTTGGATGGCCAGTTCTCAGGCAAGGGTTTTGATGATTCTATAGGACCTTCTTTTGGTAAGTCAGTGTACTGAATTATTCTCTCTACAGCTGTCATCTGTGATATTACTTGAGTCATTTGCTTTACTCCATGTTGTAGCATACCCGTCAAAACTAATGACTGTGAAATAGCTAGACCAACTGACGCACCAAAAGTGTTTTCTATGAAAGGATTGAAAATTCTAATCAAACACTAAAGTCACATATTGTCTACGCTACTGTAATTAAATAAGGAATTACCAGAATTAATTAAAATTAAAAGAAAACATAAAACAGCAATAAAGATGCAAGTGATTAAATCTATACTGAAACCAAATGCTGATCCAGAAGCTACAACTAAGTACCATGCTCTGGTGTGTTCATTTTGATACCGATCAAATTCGTTTCTTAATGTTATTTGCACGTCTTTTCCACAACTTCTTATCGTAGTTAGACCATTCAGTGTTGTGCTAACGTGCGTAAAAACTGGACTTTTTGCTGAAAGATAAAAATAGTTATCGTTTGAAAGCTATGTAAAATAGAAAAAATTGAGTATTGATTATTCTTACTGATTCCTTCCAGTCGCTTGACATCTTGGGCAGCTCTCAGATAGTAAAATGATAAAAAGTAGAATACAATCCCGATAATGACTGTAACTCCTATCATCCAGATATTGACAGAAATGATATTTACCAAGATACCAACAACTCCTATCAGTATAAGAAATGATTCAATCATAAACTGTAGAAGTAAATCATCCATTGCTCCAACATCTTTTGAGAATCTGTTTAAAAGTCGACCTGAAAAGAAATACCATAATAATTTCATTTAATCGAATGGATAAATCAAGAGTTTATCAAATTTTTCGAGATGATTCAAATACGTACCCGAAGGATTAGTGTTAAAGAAATACATGGTCGCTTGGAGAAGATTAGAAAACATTTGATTGTGGAGCTTGCGTGCAGCTCTCATGCCGACCCATATGAGAAAACGGGCCCTGGACATAGACAGAGTGATAAAAGTGATGAGAAGAACGAGGTAGATGTAGACTGCAGTTTCGGCGGGTAGCAAACCATCGCTATCAAGAAGTGATCTCAATATCGTGTTGTTGATGAGAGCGTTAGATTCACGTACAGCCCCTGAACAGACACCACCTGCACTCTGGATACAAGGTCTGAATGTTTCTAGAGTTGTCCAGAAAGTCATCCACTGATCGACACCAACCGCAGCAACCTGGGTCAAAATGAACATCAGGACCAGCAGAAGGCATCCAATGATCCCACCACCTTCACGGAAATATCGGAAGTAAATCTCTTTGGAGATGAATCCTTCGCTCTTTACTTCGTCGGGGATAGTATTTTTCAGATCCACTCCATCAGCGTCTTCATTGACCATCTGAAACATTGCTCAGTTAATTATGTTAAGTAAAGCTGCTGTTCTCGAAGGAAATATTTACAAATTTGTAACTATCGTGAGATCTGATCGAAATTTGGGACATCCTGGTCTTGGCCCGACGGAAGAATTTATTTTTTTCGTTTGCGATTTCCGTCTCTTGCTTATCTGGACTTTGCTCCTTGACAGTTTCAACAACAGCTTCAGTTTCGTTTTCGTCCTCGTTCTTCTTTAGAGCGTTGAGCATATTGTTGAAAACAACACTCGTTTGAATTAAAGTATCAAAAGTTCCGTGATGTTTAATCGAGCCCTAGTGAGATAAACAGTGTTATCACGAGTATTATAAAGATAACATTAAGAGCTTTTATTCTTACGTGCTCCAAAACTGCGATAGTATCAGCTTGCTTGAGATAATTGAGCTGATGCGTAACCAAGATCCGCGTTTTGCCTTTCAGATACTCGAGGATACAATCTTTGAAGAGCCGTCGAGCGACACGTGCATCAACAGCACTCAACGGATCATCTAGAAGGTACAGATCGGCTCGTCTGTAGATTGCTCTAGCCAAATTGACTCTCGCTCTCTGGCCGCCCGATAGTGAAGCTCCTCGTTCTCCGACGATAGTTAGATCTCCGTTGGGCAGATGTTTGAAATCCCGCAGAAGAGAACAAACTTTCGTCACCTGAGATCATTATAATCGATCACTAGAAAAATGAAGAACGCAAATAAATAATTTTTTATTAACCTCTTGATAATGCGTTTTATCATACTCTAGTCCAAAGAGAATGTTCTCTCTCACAGTTCCTGTAAAGAGCCACGGATCCTGACTAGCGTATGATATCTTCATTTCAGGATTGTCCTGTATAAATCCTGATTGAGATTTTGCATCTTTTGATTCTCCATCAGAGAACTGGAATAGTCCAACCGTTCCAGCACCAATTGGCAGCTCCTGCAGGAGCAAATTCAAAAAAGAACTTTTGCCCGAACCGACTGGGCCTACCAGAGTACAAAGTTCTCCTCCGTTGATCTTCAGTGACACTTCAGATAATGTTGGAGGCAATTGGCCAATCTTCCAATTGGCTGAAACTTTGTCTAACTTAACTACAACAGCTTCTGGCGCAACTTTTTTCTGCAAACTTTCATCAAATTTTGACATCTTAAAAAATTCGATTGTCAGCGCTTCTGTCTTTCTTTCAATCTCATCCAGCAAAAGAAATTCCTGTAATATAAAAATATGTAATTGCCAAATTATCTACAACAGTATTAAATCTTATACCTCAATCCTTTTGACAGCTACGATACTTTGGATCAGTGAAATAATTGATATCGGGAAGAATATCGTCATGAGCAATTGAAGAGTGCTGTAATAAATTGACACTTGGAAGGTGATTTCTGGATTGATTGGATTATCATCGATCATTATGAAGATAACCAGTGTCATGAACAGCATCGCCTTTTGTGTGAATTCGGAAGAACTGGAATACAACCCCCGTATGTTATTTGACCGAAGTATCTGTTTTATTTCATTCGATCTTGTTTGCGTGACTATTTTATTGAATGGTCTCTCCCATGCATACATTTTTACAACCTATCACAGACATATAGATCAATTTTAATTATGCAGACTATATATGAAGATCAAGATATGTGAAACTTAACGACAAATAGCAGTGAGTTAATGCTTGATATACATAATCTTCATAAATATCTTAAAATAAACTTGAAATTAGTTTCGTAAAAGTGATTCGATTTTGACTCCCCGAGAAAAAATATTTATATATAATTATATATATTTATATATAAATTGGTTATATATGATTATATATGAAAAATGGCCAAATATAATCATATCTAATTATATATAATTATGTATAATTATATATAACTATATATAACAATATTTAATTATAGATTTATTACATCTAATTAATTATTGGGTTAATTTTATGGATAGAGTATTTAATATGGTCCTACGCAATTCTGTATAACTGATCAAAATGCAAAAAAAATATCTAGAACTAATTTTATGGCTATAACACCAGTGGTCACCCATCCAACTATTAACCCTGCTCAATGCTGCTTAACTTTGGTGATCTCCGTACGTCTTGAAGTTTCTGTCTGCTGTGCTGCTATCTTAGACAATAATGATTCTATAATCTACTTAATGTATCATATGAGTTTATCATAAATATAATATAAATAGTATATTACATACCTAGGCCAGTAAAATAAGAAAAGTCTCAGA